TATCTATCTATCTATCTATCTATCTATCTATCTATCTATCTATCTATCTATCTATCTATCTATCTATCTATCTATCTATCTATCTATCTATCTATCTATCTATCTATCTGTCTATCTATCTATCTACATATCTATTTATTTATACACATTTGTGTATTTATAAATATATATTATCCACTTTTTTAATATAAAATTTGACCTATAGCGTTGGCTTCAAATAAAATAGTTTAAAACATTTTCATAAAAATCAAACTGAATTGAATGAAAAAAAAATATTGATCTAAAGTTTTTTTTTTGCTTTTAAGACATCAATTTTAAAGTTGCAATTTAGAAAATGTTATTTTCTCTTTCGTATATATATACATATATATATATGTGTGTGTGCGTGTGTTCGTGTGTGTGTGTGTTCGTGTGTGTGTGTGTGTGTGTGTGTGTGTTCGTGTGTGTGTGTTTGTGTGTGTGTGTATTATGCTGAATCCGTTATCACAAAATATATTTTTTCTATTTAATCTAATATAATACATATTTAAATGTAAATCTACTATTCTTTATCATCTACGTTTACGTGCGAGTATGAACCAAGTTCAAGAAGATATCATATTCTTTTTTGTCAGAGATTCCCATTAATACAAACTAGTGCCTTTTTTAATTAGTGACTGAAAATTTCCTAAATTTTACCCATAATTTCTTACACCAACCACTAATCTATTCCGCTCTTAAGGTCAAGGCCTTACCTTACACCAGGGGTCTAAAACTCAAATTAAGTCTGAATGAGACTGGGCCGTACTGAATGTTCCACACAAAAAAAAAAACGATTACAAATTCAATAAATTACATCTCTTAAAATCTCTCAACTTTTATTAATAAAAAATAAAAACATAAAGGGTTCTCAGTAATAATGCATCACTTACTTCCTCCTATTCCTTGTTGCCAGACACCTGGTGTGCATCTTTTTTGCTCTTAGTGAGATTTTTTGTTGCATCAAATAAATCTAAATTAATTTTTGTTAAAATGATACCAAATCACTGAACATACTTAAGTTAGAGTTAGTTGTTTTTTTTTTTCCAAAATGAGGCCAACATGACATTAAAACTCGAATGTTGAGCATCACGTCACCCCTAAACCCCACAAGTACATAATAATAATAATAAAGTTCATTTAAAAAACACGCTTCATCCCCAAAGGCTCGAAGCGCGGTACAAAGTCAACAAAAAACATATCTATAATTCACCACATTTAAAACAAACACAACACTACAAAAACATCAGGCCGTTCTTTTGCTTTTCAATTTTAACGGCGTTGTATCCTTATGACACTTATAAATAACTTTCCCGATGATCTAAACTAAAATATTCAGCTAAAAAATGATATGAAAATAATGAGATTCTGTAAACGAGGGCTAAAGAGCATAAAAAGAAAAAGAAAATTATGGCTAGTGATTCCAACTAGTGATTGTAAAACTAAAAAGTGTTCAAACATAAGGCCGGAGCAGAAATCTCCATGATTTATTGATGTGAAGGAAGATGCTAATCTAAGGAAAAAAAAATTTTTTTTTTTTTTTAATCGTAGAAAAGGACTTTTAATCAGGATTCTTTAATCAAATGTAAGATTGAGATGATTTACACAAGTATGAATATGCATTATCCACTAATTAACTTAATAAAATGTTTGATATATATGTGTATACAATATTTAAAGCATGTTTTCTCAAAACGGCACTTCACCTATGTTTGTCTGATAGAATGCAATGGAATAAAAACTTTTAGTTCGATTTTAAAACATTTTTTACCATTATAATAAACGTTCAAATCTGTAAGATAAGATAAGATTCTTTTATTGATAAAAAAAAGGAAATGTTTCATGATTGCATTATACATTTTCAGCACATAAATAAAACAATTTGAACACAAGACATTTATGATAACTTATTTCAAACAGCCATTCAGTGAGTGCTCTTAGCCAAATCGGGGACTCTTTAGTTCTCATTCAGATGCGTGACTTCAGAAGGAGCACGCTGGTCAATTCGTTCAGATTGGGGAACAAGCGAATTTTTATATCTGTCAGACCTCACTCTGATGGAAAGAATTCGTCCCGAACGGCCCGATCCTAAGAATCTGTGATGAAGAGAGTGAGATGTATCATCCAAAATGTAATAAAAATCACAATTAAACAGGTCGGTCAGATACGACTGAAACTTTCACGGATGGTCACAATATAGAAGGGAGAAAACCCAAGTGCCGCATTAACACTAAACTTTTATGTCAGGTATCGGGCGAATTATCGTCTTGCGGGCGAAAAATGGCCCGCAGGCCTCGAGTTTGAAACCCCTTCGTTACAACAATAAAAAAATATTTCCACAATGTAAAGCTTACTCTTAAACTTGCATCCAGTTCGAAAAACTTATTTTACTTTCACCTCAAATTGTATAAAACCAGAAGACATCATCCATTTATGAAACTTTTGATTTTACAAGAATACCAAAATAATAATTATTGACAAATGTAATGATGTAAACAAGTGTTTTCTTGGTCTAATGTCAGATTACTATGCAGATAATACATATTGTTTTATTTAAAAAAATCGATCGTGTGGTTTAAATGAAAAAAAAACAAACAACAACAAACAAACAAACAAAACAA